GTTTGGAAGTTATTGGCAAAAAACGAAAATTTCGCAAAATCTGAAGGGGTACCCCTTGGAAAAATCTCAGAAAAATCGAAAATTTCTTTTTGTTGTTTATTATTAGCAATGTTCTTCCGACGTCTGATTTCTTTTTAAAAAATGCGTTTCTAAAGTGCATGAACTTGTGGGATTGGCTGTATAGCCAATACATCCTTAATAATTACACGAGTCGACAGCTCGTAGTTATTTTGATGGAAGAAAATGGGATGAAACGAATCGAGTTTCTTGAGCCCTACCATGTTTTAAATTAATCGAATTTTGTTCGAAATTATTTGTTAGGATATAGTGCGAGATTGGTCAATTTGTCGTCGTCCGTGATTTTGAGTTAAGGAAATTATGATTGACACTGTGGAAACTTACTATTTCAAGGATTTTGCTATGATAGATTTAGTTCCAGAATTGTTGCACAATTAGGAGACCTAATTAAAAGCGCTCATATAGTCTGATTTAATCGACCGTTACGAGAGAGCAAGTGAAAAAGTAGTTATGTCTCACATATAAAATAACTGTTTCATAAAAAGCAATCGAGTCAAGTTTGTTGGTAATAGAGAAACGTATCTCGAACTGAATCTCACTTGCGATCATCGACCTCTAATAATGTTCAAGTACGACCCGAGTTTTTGACTCTTCATCGAACTTGATCATCTGGGTTAACGATTATTTATTACAAACGGTTGTGTCATCGAACGACGAGCCTGGTTCAGGCATTCGCCGACCGTACTTTCATAAGTATGTCGATTATGTCACCTGTTCTCCACCTAGAGAAAGTCTGGACAAACGGTGTCGCGTTCGATTTCCTGGACTGGTGTGACAAAACCTTATTAAGGGGACAATCGCGGCCAGGGGAGGAAAGAAAAAAAATTAACGACGCGCGTTTTCAACGCGACGTTTAAATCAGTAGAAGAGCTGGTTTTTATGTAACGAGAGTTCCTGTTGACCGACCCGACTTCTTAAAACGGGGATCGACCAGTTGCACTTCGATCGACCACCATGTTAATTACTTAATTACGTGTCCTAGTTTTACTTCTGATCGCATTAAACTGCACCAGGAGGCAAATTTTGAGAACGTTCTAAGCTTCGTTTTCTCCGCTATCTCGATTATTTTGCAAACGATTCGCTGTATAGTAAATATGAGGTTGGTCGAATTGCGGATGTTATTTTACAAGCAACGAAATTGCCGTGAAATTGTTAGAACGCACGCGATGCTCATCTTTAGGTTGATGACTGTCTCGGGTTTGATTGTCGGTTCTAGGAAACTTCAGGGTCTTAACTTTGAGAGGGAAGAGTTGTATGATTCCTTAAGGGATGATAATTCTAGCAATTGAAATGACGGAAGTAGTATTACGAAGAAGTATGATGTTAACGACCTCATTGATGAAATTCATTATCTTCGGTAGGAGTATCATTAGTCATGGAGGAAGTATTATTATCAGTAACCAAAACAGTGAAACCAGATTCCGATTGCATGATCGCGTTTCCACGAAAGATTCCGTGTTTTCGCTTGCTAAAAACAGATAAAATCATTACCGATGCAAGTTGTTACGGGGTTCGGCGATGCCGTAGATGGCAACTGTATCAAAGAGTTGATAGGACAGGAACTGTGTCACGACGGTAGAAAACAGAGAACCGAGAATCGAACATACATAACATGACGACTAGCGATTTCCAGGGTGCCTAGTATAAAAGTAGTTGTCCACTATCTGGACCACACAGTTCGATTGTGAATCGGGTTTAACATGAATCTTTTGGTAAGCACCGCTTCTCTTCGACGGAGATCTTCACTTAGCGCTCCAGTGAAACAGTGTTTTTTGATTATTATTAATCTGTTTGAGGAGCCGGCGCTCTGGTGACGTTAGATCTTCGTTTTAGTTTTTACTACTGTTGGCCACTTTTTCTTCGGTCATCGGAGCTGCCGTGCTTCCAACCAGCGTCCCTGAAAAGGTGACGAACAGCAACGACGCGGCTCAACAAATTGTCGCCGATAATCCGTCTCAGCCGAATTCTCAGGACGCAGCTGGCGATAAGAAAGTGACAAAGAGAAGTTACGGTTGGAATCCATGGGGTTACATTGGTTATAGTTGGCCTTGGTAGGTAGATCGTTGCAAGACATCTTGTGACTTAGAAAGGTTTTGCGGAAAAAATGGCCACTTGCTTAAGAGATTCTTGCGAATTGCGTAATAGGAAGTCGAATAGTTTGCGAGGTATTAACAAACTTCCTGCTGCGTTCGACGGAATTTATGTTCTAATTCGGCTCTTATTAGTAGCTTGTGAAACTTCTTCATTGTTTCTTCTTAATGAAGGAATAGGCGATGCAAATTATTTGGAATTTAAAGCTGTGTCAGGGACTGAGAGTCGCTCGTGTGAGAACGTTTGCAAGGATATCTGGAGCAATCTCGAAGGATGACGAAGTTGCTTTATAGAAAAACGTTATGAGAATACTATTTCAGGTATGGATGGTATCCAGGATGGTACCCTAGCTGGCCGTTTTATGGTCACGGGTACGGTGGATATTATGGCGGATACCGTAGTTTTGGTCATGGATACGGTGGTTGGTACAAGGGCTGGTAAAGTGGGGAAAATGTAATCGCGCAGAATACTTTTATCATTTTATAAATATATCTTACAACTCTCTTTAATATTTTTGCACATTGAGTATCACAACTCCAAGACTGAGATATCAGAGAAATAATTCAGCTGCGATTCATTTTTCATTTACCCAATCTTACCGTCCCATTTTGTTTTCGAAGTTGTACACCATATACTTATAAGACTATCACTGTTAAATGATCATCAGTGAAAGAAATAAATACTTCATACTATAAAGGGAAAGTGAAATAATTTTGCACGTACCCTTAATCGTTTCCTTATGTAGTCTGCTAGTATTCCCTCGCAGACAGTCAGGTTTTTGTCCGTGTCCTGTATAATAAGGAACACACGTTACAATATCGTAAAACAGTTTCTAATTTCTAATGCATGCGTCAATGAACCTTTAAAATATTCATTAGCTCATGAACTTTTTCCAGTGTAGCCTGATACTGTTCGGGTAAATCATTGCAAACTCGATCCGTGTTCGTCGCGTACATTTTAAGATTGAAGAAAACAAGAAACGTATCGTACTGTTTCCACCTTCACGTTAATAATCCATAACACTTGTCTGACGCGACATCATGCATGCACTTGAAATGTGGCATACTGTTGCTTAGAAACAAATAGAACAACAAATATTTATCGAGATTTTTCGAAGAGCTTTCGTGAAACTATAAATTAAGATTCATTTATAAGAATTGATTCTGAGATATATGAGTTTTTAATGTATTGTTGAATTTTACATTTTTTTATTCACAACATTTGTTGTTCATAAGGATTTCGTAAATACCTATGACAGATATTAAGAACATTCATTTTATCGATGGTGCGAATTATATATCTAGCGTTGTAAAGGTAGAGCTCCCTCGAACTCACGTTCTCTACGATTTACTGTGAAAGCCATTGGGGGGCAGTCAAAAGGGTGAAATTCTTGTGGCGGGCCAATTTGCAAAATATTTAGTTGCAAAAGTCTACTCAGTACAATACAGTAATGAAATAAGCATACGAATACTTTCAAAATTTCTCTGGATCAATTATTTATCCGCGTACGGGACACTGGATGCAACCCTTCAAAAAAGGGGTGCGTTTTAGACATCCAGTCCCAACAAGAGAGTCAAAGGCTAACCGGCTCTGCGTTTTATGGTACTGAGTTTATAACTCTTAACTAGACGCTGACCACTATGACACAAAGGGATGCTGTCGCATCCCCTTTCCGGTGGACCAGTTCCCTGTCAGCGGAAATTGACCGAGACGATTTTAGAATGAGAGTCAAAGGTCAACTGGGCTCATTTTGCGGTTCGCCTTCGTCAACAATGGACAGTGGTCATTGTTACGACTAGTTCTCGGCAGCATCCCTATCCGGATGGACCAGTTTTCGGAATGGTACAGGATTCGCGAGAGTGTTGGAGAGGGCAGGACCTCGCCACGCGAGCAAACAGGTTCCATTCGAAGGGATGAGTCGCTGTCGACGTACGGAAATGGATCGTGATCTAGATCAGGTGGAAAACTGGTCCATCGTGGACCCTCTCGAAAACGGGAGCAAGTCATTCAGATCAGAGATCAGAGAAGCGAGTGGCAGGTTCAAGATTCGCAAATAGGAACAGGTTACATTTTGATTTCGTAGCGAACCGTGCAGGAGCATTAGATTGATAAGAGAATCGTCAAGAATAAATGTAGAACCTACCAAATGAATATTCAATCGCGCAACTCATAGAAGTGGATACTTTTTGGTACTTCCCATTATCGTCGCAGGACTTCTCTGAGCTGTCTGGCTCGATTTCCGCAGGTCTGTTCCAAAGAAAATTCTCTCTGGTACGGAGCTGAAAAAAGGGGTTCGGTATGGCGAGAGGACAAAGGAGGGCCGGAGCACTCGATCAAAAGTGAAAGAAAAAAACAAAGCCCGGTGACGTGTGTGTCACATGAGACGCCGGGACCAGCCCACATTGGCCACTTCTTTCACCTGTCCATCATTCGCTGCCCTCCAAAGAGAGGACGTTCTCTGAAAGAAGGACATTTGCGTTTCCGTCCTCGTACCAGTCATTGTGCGCTTTTATCGGCCGTTTCGCGTTCAGTTTCTACACGGGGATTTCGTCTGCTTCTCGTGGGGAATACTTGAAAAGGGAGCCTACCATAATTGACTGCTTTATTTCGGATTCCAGACCCGAGGTATCCGCGTCGATGCGAGATCTTCGTTGACACGACGTCAATTTTATGAATGGAACGTGATCTTCGCAACAGCATCTCTTTCCAATCATTAAATTTATCGAAAGGGCCAAAAACTGTATCGGTAATAAAGCGGGCGCGAATAAAATAAAGGAGGCACACTTGTGCGAGGAAACGAAGATCACACGGACTCTTCCTTTCCTCGAGTTAATTTGTCTTTCGTCTACGAAGACGTTTTCTCCCGAGGAGACCCATGAAAAGGTTTCGTTACGTATACGCCGCATTATTTCCATTCGTATCGGTAACGAGGCCTCCCATCCACGGTAACGGGATTTGGTGAGGTACACTCCCGTACATAGAAGTGCGCGGTATTACCAGGACACCGCGTATATAGGAGAGGGCGTATTTGTTTTACTGCCTGGCTGCCGGCATTGGTTGAGAACGTGCTCTGCATTCTTGAAATCGTGCCACCCTTGTTACGGCATAGACTCTTCGCTGCCACCATCCCCCTGCGCCGTCCGCCGAACATCCCGCCATCAAGCTGGCTCCTCTTCTTCTTTTCCTGGCACTAGCACTACCGCCGGGATCGACAGAAGGATACCGTCATCATTCCCCCTTATCCCGGACGGTCATAAAAATTCTTGACTCCTGTAATGGTCACGCGACGCGGATACGGGGTGCGCGTTTCTTTATATAAACTGGAGGGTTTTGAGGGGTGGATTTTCGCTTTGGAAGTCCGCGGCTTTAATTGTGTGTCTCGTGGAATAATAATCATCCCTTTCCCAACTTACGGAACGCTATCGTAAACAATTTATTCCATTATCAAAGTAAGATCGCAGGAGGTGCGAATTAACTTCTTCATTAATGTATTCGATGGTTCCTCTTTAACCGCGTTTCGTCCCGCTTTAAGACAGAGAAATGCAAATAAATTTCTGGAGGTTAATCGTCGAGCGGGGCTCATTTTTCTCCGCGGCAATCGTAAAGTTCTTATCGCCCCTGACAGCCGTGGCGTTTCCCCCTCGAGACAATACGGAGTATCTGATTTCCAACGAGACGGTAGCGAGAGAGACTCGCGGACCGGGTCTTTCACCGCTGCCGCGTCGCGTCGTGAAACTCCGATGCAAGCCGGTAAAAATATTAGAGCGAAGGAAAAGGAAGGAGGGGTGAAAGAAGGACACGAAAGAAGAGTCCGGCATTCTGTCGATCCTAATTTACGGCCCGGATTTCAGCCGTTTATGTCTTTCCGATAAGGTCGTTCACGCTGATGCTGTGCCTGCACCGATGGATGCCGTTGCACTCCCTGACTTCTCTCTTTTTGCAACGGGAGATCTCCTGGCTCTTGGCAGTGATGGTAGGCCATAACGAAGTCCCTTTTTTTCGTCGAAAAATAAAACAAACCACACAGTTTTGATAAGGATATCTCCAACCGGGCGCGAAGTATTTCTTCGTAGAATTTTCCTTTCGGTTCTATGAAATCGATTTTAAGCGAGTGTTAATTGATTACGAAACGCAAAAAGAATTTTCTCACAACTATGAACGCGAACTGTTATGCAACCTTTTAAAAACTGACAACGTTATATAAATGTTTTTAGATTGAAATTAACGAAACGGCGCCACGGTGAATTACATAATCCCGTTGCGAACATCGATTGCTCTTTTCTAAATTGAATCTGCGGGACAGGACCGCGGACATAATAGAATCTAAATCGTAATAAATTTCACTCCAATTTCCCATCGATCAGTCACCGGCCGCGGTGATATTTGTTTAAGGGATAGACGACCGGAGATTCGATAAAATTGGAAATTTCGGCTTTTTTCCGTCCATCCGACGAGGGGTGTTAAATTCTCTGTGAGATTCGATTGGGTGACGGTTCGTGCCGGGCGCAGATTTCCTGTCCGGAAGCGCCGCTAAGATGGGTTTGTTCATGGTTTTTCATTCCACCATCACCTCCACTTTTCCTTCATTTTTAATACTCGAACGTCGTTTAGTTCCTTATAGATCATGAAATTTTTTCCACTGTTATTTCCGAACTACAATCCTACCATTCCATATTTTCAAGATTGCATACTTAAATAAGGACACGTTTATCCGCTCGTTGATCGTTTTTTCGTGCTATGAATCAGATTGGTTTAACGCTGGAACGCAACAAGGATGAAAGCGTCACGATGGCACTTTGTGTACCGAAGAACTGCGAGTTCCAAGGGAGAGAGTATCGATATAGCTACTCTTCTTACTTTTGGCCACTATCCTCGGAAGTCGACAAGGGGGGTTAGCTAGGGGGAAGGATAGGATGGCCAGAATTTATAGCGTCTTTTGCGATCCCGGCGGGTAGGGAGGATGAGGCCGCCACCCCACAGACTCAATGTTTTCTGCAGGGAAAGTCGGAAGTCGAGTCGAACCCTGGCCAGGACTAGCCGTATCCCATACGTCTTGCTAACAGACCGGATAGGTTTCGTCCCGTTTCTCGTTCGACAAAAAATTCTTTAAAATCATCTAATACACGTACAACACCCCGATCGACGTATCAAGATAAAATACCGTGTAATGAATTTTTTTAGTTCCGTTTCGTTTCTTAATTCGCGTCCGCAATAGTGTAATCGATGTTTAACCGTAACTCCGGCTGGACAATACGTGCGCTTTATCGGGTAGATTTAGTTGGACGACCGGGTCCCTCCATTTTCCGAATGGACTTCTGACCCAACCATCCTACGGCTCACAGGGATGCTTTTTATTAGACTCCGGATCACCCGGTATACCCGCGTATACGTACGTGTGTGCATGCAGACGGAGTCCCGTATATACGACGGCAGTGGCCATGTTCAGGGTGGAGGGACAGCCCCATTCGCCAAATTAACTGCGTTAGACCAGGACCCTGGAATTCTTTACGCTTTCCTCGACCTACGACCGGCCATTTTACGCTGGATTTTTCAACGAAAACGCTCGTCTTTCACCCTGTCGAACGATCCTCCTCAACTTACTTTTTATCTCTCGTTCATGATTACCCCTTTGCTAAATTTAATTCCCGAATCTGTTGAATGTTTCAATGCACGGTTCATAAATTTCGGTTTTATATGGTTTCGTTATTTCGAATACGTAGCCAGATCGAGGGAACGCAAATTAATTGAGTATAAAATTGTCGAGAACGAGCGAGAAGTGTTTGCTTTCATTTCGTGCTTTCAAACTTTAATTATTTTGTTACACGATGCTGGGAGGTTCACGTTTCCGGCCGCGAGAGGTGCAAAAGTTCGTGAACTTTTTCGAAGGCGGTGAAAGTGTATAATGCGAGAGGAACTTAAGTAACGATTTCACTAGGAAACTTTCGCGCGACGAGACTTTAAAGGCGAGCGCCCGAGACCCGGCGATTTAATCGAATCGCTAATGTTTGCAAAATCTTTGTTCGAGACGTCTTAAAGAGAAGGAGGCGAAACGAACGGTCTCGTTCAGTAGACCATGCCAAA